CTCTTTGCCTCTCCTTCTCTCTCTGTAACTCTGACTTCCAAATAAATAAATAATTTTTTTTTTAAAAAAGGTATTCTATCCTGAACACTGTGAACAGTGCATTATAATGATTCTAGGATTTGGTGTATTGTTCTGGGGAGTGTTGATGTTTTTTGAGAGGGAGAGAGAAACAAAATAAGTTAGAGAGCAAGTTCCCATCCACTGGCCCACTTGGCAAATGCCTGAAGTGGCTGGGAGACTTAAACTGGGAACTGAGAACTCAATCTGGGTACCCTATGTGAGTGGCAGGAACCCAACCACAAGCACCATCATCACTACTTCCCAGGATCTACACCAACAGGAAGCTGGAATAAGATGCCAGAGCTAGGAACTGATCATCCCAATTAGTGTTCTCTTTTATTTAAGGTATAGAAATTTCTTGTATTTCATACAAATCTCAAACATTTCATGTTTAGAAACATGGAGATAGTTCCCATGCTACCTTCTCTCGCACCCTTCCTTCTCCTTCCTCTCTTATTTCCTCTCTCAATTTTACAGTGACCTACTCTGTTTATTTTATACTCATAAGATTAAACCTACACTAAGTAGAGATCAGTAAATAGAAGGAAAAAACACTGTCCCTCCACAGTAGAGACAAGGGCTGTAAACAATCATTGAATCTCAAAATGTCCATTTAACTCCTATGCATTACATTTTTGGTACTCCATTAATTACCACAGATTAGGAAACTATTAGGTCAGAGCACTGCCTCTGGAGAGTATTGGTTTTCTGTGTTTGTTTTTGTTTGTATTTCTAGACAGCTAAGTTGGCTGGGCTGAAATCGCAACTATGTGTCTGCACCGAGAGCAGCAGCTGACATCTCCATTCAGTTGCTTAGCCTTAACTGCATTGCTTTGAGTCTGCTGTTGGGTAGATCAGTGAGCAACCACTTTGGGAATTGTGATTCTTTACTTTCCAGCTGTTGTGTTAACTTAAACCTCTAAAAAAATTTATTTTCCCGAGAATTTATACTTATTTGTAGAAATGTTGATCTGCCGGAGGTATTTTGTTATTATTTATAGTACAGTACACACACACACACATTTTGTTTGTGTTTTTATTTATTTATTTATTTGACAGATAGAGTTAGACAGTGAGAGAGAGAGACAGACAGAAAGGTTTTCCTTCCATTGGTTCACCCCCCAAATGGCCGCTACGTCGGCACTGCGCCGATCTGATGCCAGGAGCCAGGTGCTTCCTCCTGGTCTCCTATGTGGGTGCAGGCACCCAAGCTCTTGGGCCATCCTCCTGCATCCCTGGGCCACAGCAGAAAGCTGGACTGGAAGAGGAGCAACTGGGACTAGAACCCGGCCCCCACATTTTGTTTTAAAATGTCTCATGAATTTATATTGATACTTCCAATTCAGCTCAGTACTATAAGGTTTTTATTTACGCCTGCATCTTCCCTCTTCTGTACTTAAAATTGTGGGATCTATCTATCTTTCTTTCTTTCTTTTTTCTTTTTTTCTTTCTTTTTTTTTTTTTTTTTTTGGACAGGCAGAGTGGACAGTGAGAGAGAGAGACACAGAGAAAGGTCTTCCTTTTGCTGTTGGTTCACCCTCCAATGGCCGCCGCGGCCGGCGTGCTGCGGCCAGCGCACCGTGCTGATCCGATGGCAGGAGCCAGGTACTTCTCCTGGTCTCCCATGGGGTGCAGGGCCCAAGGACTTGGGCCATCCTCCACTGCACTCCCTGGCCACAGCAGAGAGCTGGCCTGGAAGAGGGGCAACCGGGACAGAATCCGGCGCCCCGACCGGGACTAGAACTCGGTGTGCCGGCGCCACAAGGCAGAGGATTAGCCTAGTGAGCCGCGGCGCCGGCCGACAATTTGGTTCTTAAGGACATAAAATAGGTGATGGAATTAAGATATCCTATGATTATTTAATTCTTACCAACAAATAATATTGTTTACTTTTTAATTTTAGACTGATAAGACTATTCATTTTGGTTGTCTTAAACTTGTTTACATTTGGTTCTTTATGAAGGGCTTGTGGAAGCACTATTTTCTGAGTTTTTGCATTTTGGAACAGTATTTGTGTTTTCTATGTGTTAAAAGTCAATTTTACTAAATATAAAATATTTTTATGTTCTCTTTTCTTGAATGTCTTAAATAACCTCCTCCGTTTTCTTCTATCATAAAGTATTACCTTTGAAAAATTTAATGTCAGCCTTTTGGGTTGATTTTCTTAGGTGTGGGGTGTACTCTTTCAGTCAGCAGTTTCAAATTAAAGTTTTTTTCAGGGACTTCTTTGAATCAGACTTGTGTTATCTGAGTATCAAATCTTCTTTGTACTTTGTTACCTGCTTTCCTTGAAATCCTTTTTATCTTTTTTTTAATTTCAAAAATGTTCCTTCTTTTTACCTTCTAGTTCTTTTAAAGCATCATCTGCTGTATATATTTGCTCTTAGGTTCATTCAGATTTGTTCTTCATTAATTTCCTGAGTTCTGTTACCTTATTTCTGAGTTTCTTGATATCCAACTTAGGTTGTTTTTTCATGTCTTGAATCATTTTTGTAATGTCTTTTAGCTCATTTTGAAATAGTAGGTTACAATTTTCATTCATTTTGTGAATATATGTTCTTGGTAGGCTTTTATCATCAAGATGATATTCTGTACCTTACATTTTTCTTCTAATAACTTTATGGGATTGACCTACATCATTTTCTGTTGCTTACTTGTATGTGAAATTGAGTTTCCTGGACCCTAAGTAAGTGGTTTGGGAGGGCTTTGTTTCTCACGCAGCTCTTTTGTTTTTGGACACTTCAAAACTGTGGTGCTTGCTCTCTGGGATTTTTAGGCTCTCTGTTCCCTTCCCCATTTTTCTTCTGGACATTTTTCTTCATCATCATTGTACATATTGTGGTGAATTTTTATTCCATACCCTGTAATTGATACTCATTTTGCCTCCATATCATGGAAAGGCTAGTTTCAGGAGTTCATAAAGATGGTCTCGTCCAGCATGTTAAGACTCTCAGAGACTTAGCCATGTGGTCACCGCTAGTGCAGAATCTTTCCAGTTATGGGTCCTGCACTCATCCAATTATAGGTCCTGTGCGTTTGATGAATCCTTTTTTCTCTTTTGGGAGTCTCTCATCAGTTCTGTCAGACATCCTGTTTCTTTCTGTTTCTCCCCAACAGATAGTGATGGCATACAGGTCTTGTGGTTGTTGATGATTTGTTCCCACCTGCTAATTGGAAAGGACTCATGGGATTCTTGTCATCCAGTTTTGTTGTAAACGTTGTCTGGGTTTTTTGGTTCACCATTTAGTTTTTCACTTTTTTCTCATGGGGATTTATAGGTTCTCAAAAAATTGGGCTCCTTCCCCTCCCCTCCTATCCCCTCCCCTCTTCGGATTTTTTATTATTATTATTATTATTTTTTTATTTATTTTTTTTGAGAGGCAGCGCTAAAGAGACATGGGAGAGGAGGGAGAGTTGTCTTCTACCCACTGGCTCACTTCCCAAATGGCCACAACAGCTAGGGCTGGGATAGGTTGGAGCCAGGAGCCAGGAGCTTCTTACAGGTCTCCCACATGGGTGCAGCGGCCATTACCAGGGAGCTGGATTGGAAGTAGAGCATCCAGGACTTGAACTGGCGCTTGTATGGGATGCCTGTGTTGCAGGCAGCGACTTAACCTGCTGTGCCACAATGCGGGCTCCCCCAAGAATGTTTGTAATATGTCACTTAATTATTATTGGTGGTGTTATTTAATTTGATTAATCTTGTCCTAATTAGATTATATGTTCCTTTAAGTGCTATTTGTAATTTAATTAGTTCCAAGGGCCAGTACAAGTTGAAAACAGTCTACAGTGTCCATTAGTACTGGACATGTAAGCAGTAGCTCACAGTTGTCACTTTGGAAATTTATCTAAAGATAATTATAGACCAACTTATAACCTGTTGATTATAGGATTAGCAGCTACTCTTACAAATGGAAGGGAAACATGAGGATATCAGCTATCCTGCCTATACATGAAGTTAGTTCATGCGTCATCTTTGGCATATATGCCTTAGCCTGTCAGCCTCTGGTCTAAACATTCCTAGAAGACATTGATCCAGTGCACTTTAGAAACATTGCATAAAAAAGACATCTTCATACAGAGTGATAATTCATTTTTGTCTGTCATGATGGAAAAATAATGTCTAGAAAATAAAGAGATTCTTGAGCAAAACATTTAGTCACAATAGCAACAGTGACACACAAGGACATTTTGTTAATTTGTGTTGTGTGTGTGTGTGTGTGTGTGTGTGTGTTTTGACAGGCACAGTGGACAGTGAGAGAGAGAGATGGAGAGAAAGGTCTTCCTTTACTGTTGGTTCACCCTCCATTGGCCGCTGCAGCCGGCGCTCTGTGGCCGGCGCACCGAGCTGATCCGAAGCCAGGAGCCAGGTACTTCTCCTGGTCTCTCATGGGGTGCAGGGCCCAAGCACTTGGGCCATCCTCCACTGCACTCCCTGGCCACAGCAGAGAGCTGGCCTGGAAGAGGGGCAACCGGGACAGAATCCAGCACCCCAACCGGGACTAGAACCCCGTGTGCTGGTGCCGCAAGGCGGAGGATTAGCCTATTGAGCCGCGGGGCCAGCCCATTTTGTTAATTTAAAGAAAAGGTGGAGGAGTGTGTGTGAGATGTGATTGGATTTTGATCAATGCAGAGGAAAACTAAAGAGGAGAAATACTACTTTGAGACCAATAAGAAGAAGCATTGCTCTTTGTATTGGTTAGTAATGTTAGGGGTCTTATTCTGACTGTACTCTGATTCCTTTGCTTTTGAACTGATGTTCTAAAAAATTAGTGAATATACTATGTCTTTAAGAATTTAGTATTTTTTAGTTTCACTTTAATTTACTCCCTTGCTGGAAGGGATCATACTTTGTTTACATTTATGAGGATTATATGCTTTGTAATATGTTTATTTAAAATTACTCCTAATTTTTACCTTTTCAAAAAAATTTCCAACAGGCCTCAACAAATAATGAAAGCTCTAATCACAGTTTTGGAAGCTTGGGATCTTTAAGTGACAAAGAATCAGAGGTAAGTAATTTCATTTTAATTATGATGCTAATAAAGTAAAAATGAAAATTACCTTAATTAAATAGAAAGTTTTTCTTCATCAGTACATGTGCTAAAAGGTAATGCTTTTAAGTTTTTTGTAGGAGTGTTTTGTTCTGCTTTATGAAGAACATCATTCAAATTGAAGACATTATTTGGCATTAAAGTATAGTTTCTTGGTTATATAGCTGAACTTGTATTTTAGTGATACGTAGATGTTCTTAATAGAAGACCATTACTGATTGTTCATAGTTTTATGTGATTAATGATAAGGTGGTTTTGAAATACACTGGGTTTCACCATGTCTTATTTCTTATTATAGTACCCTCTTAGTTTTATTCTGGGTAAGGGTCTGTGTACTTCTGAGATCCAGATTAGTATTTCTCATGGAGTCGTGCTTCGGATATTCACTTTGCATATTTTTAAAAATCTGAAGAGTTCTCTCTCACTCACCTTACCAAGAAAATACATGGGATTTGTAAATCAGTGTTTGGATCCATGGTATAGTTCATTTTGAACATTATAAACACTCGAGGGCATCTTTTAAAAAAAGTGGGTGTCCAGGATTTTCTTTGGGCTTTAGCATTTGTTTGGTGCTCTAACTTCACTTTCTGTGGAAATATCCTTTTCTGTCCTCAGGTTATATAGTTATGCACTAACATTTGTGTGTATGTGTATGTGTGTATTTTCCCTGTAAGTATTAACGTGCTTCCATGTGATGCATTTTAAATGTCTTTTATTATTTGGGTTAGTGTAGCTATTTCACCTTTATAATACCACCAGGTCATTAGCACTCAGGAACCCATAGGCATTTGGTTTCAGTGTTCAGTGAAAAGGGAATGTAAAAGGTGGCATCTTTTTAGCTCTGTATTATTGAAAGCATCTAGGACTCTCTAGTGGACAGTTTTGTGCAGTTCTCTGCAGGCTCCCTGATACTTCAAAGGAGTGTGGCCTAGGGTTCTCACTCATCAGGCTTTCCCTTCCACAGAGACAACTGGCAGGCAGCTGAAAGAACTGTGCAAGTGACGGGACTTTATCTGCAGTAGGTTCCCTTGAGGTAAGCTAAGCAGTAGTAGCCCTTGTAGCACCAGATTATCGCAGTTTAGGTTTTTTCCCCCCTAAATTAACACACTTATGCTAAGTCCTTAAAAAATTTTAAGGTTAATTTTAGTCAAAGTGTAGTTTTTCAAAAATGATCATCAAGGATGTTTCACTTTAAATTTCCTGGACTTTGAAACAATTCTTGATGTTTTTATAGAATTGAGTATATTTACTAATTTTACGTGGCACCCTTTTGTGCTGCATAAAAGCATATATGTTACAAGGGCAGTAAACTGATTTCAGGTGTTTTTCTATGTTAATAAAATGTGATATTTTTGTTAGATTTTTTTTTAAAAAAATAGCAAAACAGTAAAGGTTATATCACATGCACCAGTTACATTTTTCTATATTCTTTATGAATACCCATATCCCCCAATTGGATTTAGTGTTTGGATTCTTTCAGAGGAATTGATGTATAAGAAAATTTCACTTCCTTTTAAAAATCCCAAGGATCACTTTTAGCTGTATTTTTAGTTAGAATGTTGGTCGTCCCCACCCCAAGTCCATAGTGGCATTTGCAGTGAAACATAATTTGGGTGAACATTGCACATACATACAGATGAGTTGACATTTGGACAGCAAGAGAAAATGCTAAAAAAAATCTTTTGTCTTTTGCTCTTTGTTCTTTTTTTTTTTTTTTAAGATTTATTTATTTATTTGAAAGTCAGAGTTACACAGAGAGAGGAGAGGCGGAGAGTCAGAGAGAGAGGTCTTTCATCCAATGGCTCACTCCTCAGTTGGCCACAACGGCTGGAGCTGTGCCATTCTGAAGCTAGGAGCCAGGAGCTTCTTCCAGGTTTCCCATGCGGGTGCAGGGGCCCAAGGACTTGGGCCATCTTCTACTGCTTTCCCAGGTCATAGCAGAGAGCTGGATTGGAAGCAGAGCAGCTAGGACTTGAACCAGCACCCATATGGGATACTAGTGCTTCAGGCCAGGGCGTTAATGCTCTGCGCCACAGCACTGGCCCCTGTTCTTTGTTCTGTATCTGAGATTTTGGCAAATTATTTATATTTTGGAAGTGACTATTTTTCCTTAACAGTAACATAAACCACTTTAATTATTTTATTTCTGTTTTTGTGAGGGAGTATCTGTTTTTACATTTAGGAAATTGCTTATGTGGAAAGTGATTCCCAGATTTTTTTTCTCTGTAGTAGGTACCTTATTTATAAGAATTTAAAATAGAAATAATCATGGATCATTAAGTATAGTTGTTGAGTATGAAAAGGTGCCATAGGAAGTTGAGCAGCTGGGACTTGAACCAGTGCCCTTATGGGATGCCAGTGCTGCAGGCGGCGGCCTTACCTGCTATGCCACAGTGCCAGCCCCACCATTACATTTTTAAAAAATGATAGTCTTTGTTTTTGTGAACAGAAGATAATAGAAGGTTTATTTTTAAAATAGCCGTCCTCTACCATTCACCTTTTTAGCTCACCTTCAATTTTTCTAGCTTTTATTCCTGGTATTTATTTCCATAATTCAATATATTTTGGCTCACCACTTAGACATTATCTTTTTTGGGGAGGAGAGTTAAAGATTTTTATTTATTTATTTATTTATTTGAGAGGTAGAGCCACAGACAGTGAGAGGGAGAGACAGAGAGAAAAGTCCTTCCCTTCACTGGCTCACTCCCCAAATGGCCACAATGGCCAAAGCTGCTCTGATCTGAAGCCAGGAGCCTGGAGCCAGGAGTCTCTTCTCGGTCTCCCATGTGGGTGCAGGGCACAAGCAATTGGGCCATCCTCCACTGCTTTCCCAGGCCACAGCAGAGAGCTGGATTAGAAGAGGAGCAGCTGGGACTAGAACTGGTGCCTAGATGGTAGCATTGCAGGCAGAGGATTAACCTACTGCGCCACAGTGTCAGCCCTGACATTATCTGTTGACCCCTTAGGGTTTGTGATGGTTTTAGTAAACTAATACTCCCTTTTTCCTGTTTTTTTTATCCTTATCCCTGGTACTCTTTTCAGATATCTGCAAGTTTCCTGTTATCTTCTGTTATCTTAACTGTTAAAGCTGAAAAGCGTGTATTAGTTACTGTTAGGTTGATTGAAGCTGCTTCAACTGAAATTTTTGTTTCACTTTGTATATGAATTACTTCATATAAGAATTTGAGGTGCTGGGGCCGGCACTGGAGCTCACTGGGTTAATCCTTTGCCTGAGGCAGTGGCATCCCTTATGGGCGCTGGGTTCTAGTCCTGGTTGCTCTTCTTCCAGTCCAACTGTCTGCCGTGGCCCGGGAAGGCAGTGGAGGATGGCCCGAGTGCTTCGGCCCCTGTAACTGCGTGGGAGACCAGGAGGAGGCTCCTGGCTCCTGGCTTCGGATTGGCTCAGCGCTGGCCGTATTGGCCATCTGGGGATTGAACCAATGGAAGGAAGACATTTCTCTCTGTCTCTCTCTCTCAATGTCTGTAACTCTACCTGTCAAATAAATTAAAAAAAAAAAGAAAAAAAGAATTTGAGGGCCCGGCACTGTGGTGCAGCCATTAATGCCCTGGCCTGAGGCGCCAGCATTCCATATGGGCGCCCGTTCAAGACCTGGCTGCTCCACTTCCAATCCAGCTCACTGCTATGGCTTGGGAAAGTAATAGAAGATGGCCCAAATCCTTGGGCTCCTGCACCCAAATGAGGGGCCCCAAAAGAGGCTCCTGGCTTCGGATCGGCGCAGCTCTGGCTCTTGCGGCCAGTTGGTGAGTGAACCAGCAGATGAAAGACCTCTCTCTCTCTCTCTCTGCCTCTCCTCTCTGTGTAACTCTTTCAAATAAATAAATACATCTTTAAAAAAAAAAGGATTTGACTTTTATTTCTAAATTGAAGAATTGTAGAATGAAGAAGATCTTATTAACAAAATCTGGTTGTTGGGAGAGTATTGGTTTAGTTTTATTTTATGTCACTCTGAATCTGTTCTTTGGGCTTCAAAAAGTCAAGTATATTTTCAGTAAGCATTTACTGCAGTGCAGGCAATATTAAAATGAGCAAGATGCAATTCTTGACTTCACATGAGGTCAGTGCCTAGTAGGACAGACAGATATTTAGACAGACTGCTTTATGAACTGTTTGGTTCACAAAATAAGCAGAAAATACTCTGGGAACAAAGAGCAACAACTTCCCAATTCCATCTGATCTCAGGGAAAGGAGGCAGAGGTCTTTCTTCAAAGAAAAGATAGTACTTCAGTTATTCAGAAAGGCTGTGGATCCATCCTGGAGGACAAGGGGCCAAGTGTGAGAAGGACTTGAGTGAGGTTTGCTTTTGTACAGAAGCATGGCTAGTAGTTAGGGTCCAGGCAGTAGGGCAGTGATTATCAGCTTCCAGTACTTCAGATCATCTGAGAGGCTTTCACAGATAGCCAGCTGTCCAGGTTATTCTGCCCGTTCCCAGACTTCTGGTGTAAGGGAGTGTTTGTGTTTGAAAGATAGTCAGGTGTTAGGATCCTTAAATATTTCATTCATGGTGAAGAATCTGGACTTCAGGTGATGGGAGAGCCATTGAAACAGGGGACACAGAAGCCAAGTGGAGTTGTAAAAGCCTCCCACAGAGAGCAGCTTAGAGGATAGGACTGGAGGGAGGCGATTCCTGAACAAGGAAGATCATTTAGTTAAAGAATATGCCTTCTTTACAAAACCTCAGACCTCCAAGGTTCAATAATAGGAGGAACAACTTGAAATAACAGGGATTCTGATGGTGGTATTCTGAAGTTTCCGTTTTGGACTCTGATTTCTCCCTGAAATTTTCTAATTTCACTGAGAGTTAGGATAACTTTACCACCCAAACTTTAATGTGTGAATTAATTATTTGGGTTCTTATGTCTGGATATCTGAGTTAGGGGTTTGCATTCGTAGCTCAGATTCCTCGATTTAAAAAGTAGAGTCAATAGGTCATTAAACC